TATTTCCTAACTAACTCATTTTAACATGGAATAATTATGTCTATGGACGTTGGTTAATAGATACGATACTCATAACTAAGGACGTTGGCCTTAGGAGCTTGAATGGACTACGTCTTCCCTTCTTGGGATCTTCTCGCGTACTCCCGAACTAAGGACGTTGGCCTTAGGAAGATAATATGGGAACTTCTTTCCACTTCCAGATCTGCGGACATACTCCCCGAATTCTGCTAAACTTTGACTATATCTCTTGATTAGCGACCAATCAGCATGTTTGATTTCTTTCACGTGAACGGATGAAAAGGGGAATAAATGAGGGGTCGGCAATTCCAAGTGTGGTGAGATTTATAACAGATAAGGGAAAAACAAAGGATGCTTCAGTTTCCGTTAAAGGAAATGACTGTTTATCAGTTTTCCCACGTTAGAAAACCGTTAATTTCTCACCAAAACGAAAGAATATTTTTCTACAAAAATTTAACTTTATTTTAAAATTGTTATTTAGACCCAGGGGCTATTCGGATCTCACAAACATTATATTTCGAAGTTTCGGAATTTGAAATGAATTTGAATGTTCGTTCGAATTCGTTTATTTTAGATATATTGTTTTTGAGTTACCCGAAAAGTAGAAATGATTAAAATATTTATTAATTGCCAAACTGTATACTATATGTGCCACTATTTACTTTCCTTCTTTATTACTGACTAAAANTCGAAGTTTCGGAATTTGAAATGAATTCGAATGTTCGTTCGAATTCATTTATTTTAGATATATTGTTTTTGAGTTACCCGAAAAGTAGAAATGATTAAAATATTTATTAATTGCCAAACTGTATACTATATGTGCCACTATTTACTTTCCTTCTTTATTACTGACTAAAACTAACTCTATCCTTCTCTTCCCGCGGGAGGATGGAATTTCTCACAACATACCCCACTGAAATGCAGTCAAAAACGCAAAAAAAAACCGCCTCTAAAATAGTACAGTAAAAGCTGAGTTCTTCGGGGTAATCCTTAACCTCCCTCTCCCCGCGGTGGGAATTTCGAAAAAATTCCTTCTTAGTGTACATTCTCGTGACGTACCCTAACTGTGTACCAAATTTCAACTTTCAACTCCTAGCCGACTCTGCGTTTATTATTATTATCATCATTATTATCAACCCATCTCGATTATACTGTATTATAAGATTTAAACATCTTGTTGTTATATCACAAGCAGCATTGGCTGCTATGCTACTAACTTGTAATTAATTTCCACAACCAAGTACCGCACATTTTTTTCTAATGGAAAATATAACATAAAGAATCACATTTAATTGTTGCTGAATTTTGTTCCATAACAATATTTAATTTAATGAAAGTTTGACAGTGTTGTTTTGTAAGAATTTTTGACTTTGCATACAAAGTATGTACTTGTGAAACTGCGTTATTTTTAATAAAATAATTGAAATAATACTCAAGAAAATACAAATAGGCATTTTTGCAAATGTTTTTAACTGATTTTAAATGTTTTCTGCAATCAAAAATTTATCTTCATGACAGCTACTTGAAAAATTTTTTCAAAGCATTGTATTTATCCAAAATCCTAATTAACCATGCATTTTGCTTAAAGCATTAAACTTAAGCATTTTGCTTAAGCCGGATTCAATGTCTTTTTCTCTTCTAAATGAAAAATTCTTGGGGGGTTTTTTTTAAGTGTTTACTGTACAGTTTTTGCACTCCCAGAGACGTATGCATGGGTTTACGTGGTTTTTGCAATTGTTGAGACATATGCCTAGGTTAACTTTCTGAAAAAAAATTTACCCATATGTTGTTTTGGTGATAATATAGAAGCCATTGTGGATGTTTGTGAATTCCCTATAACTTCTGCTACTTTTGTCTAATCTAGGAGAAATTTTGATTATATTTGTTTTATGTTTCGACAAAATACAGTATAGGCTATTTAATTTGCGGAAACATTAGCTATTAAAAAAAAGGTTTTATCGATTTCAGCTCAATGACGTCATTTACCTTAAGTTGCATTTTAAAATATTTTGGCAAATGGTGTAATTTTAAATTCAAAATCAAATTGAACGTTAAATTTGAAAATAATAGCTGCATCGTGTCGCTTCTACAGCAATTTTTTTTTTAAAAAAACGTTCCATAGTGACGTTCTATTATCCAATCGGAAGTAGACTAATTATCTAACGAACCTGTTGTTTAAAATGCATTATCGTGTATCAATTATGCTTAGACGGACAGTACAGGTTACTTAAATGACTATAAAATGAATTGCAACTTTCAGTCATTAAATTTTATCCGTACGAAGCCGTGTTAGTTAACAGAATACCGTATTGTCATTAGTTAACACTGATTTAAATTAAACATAATTTTGCTGCAGTTATTTCGAAAGTATTGACTAAATTTTACTAATTCAAATAATCTTATAAGAATTTGGCCATCATTTTCGTACCTTACCAAAACACAAATGTTTAGAGTCACTTATAACTGTGCTTTCGCCTATAAGCACTAAAAATTTCAAGTTTTGCAAATCTCTCTTAATTTTTTCAGTTTTAGCAAGGACGTTTATTATAATTTCTGAGCATTTTGTACGTTTTAAAAAACATCTCCAGCAATTTACATAATAATGAGAGATGATCTACAAATTTGATTTTGAGGTTGTTTTTGCCACATCGCGTTAGGCAAAAACAACCTCAGCTCTTTGATTTTTACTGATTTCGCCGGATATCATCTTTTATCGAGAATTAATGAGTTTTTGGTTTTTACTGTAATTGTCTTCATTTTTATGATATGCCCAATACCTTCCGCATACTTTAAAAGTTTATTTTTCCTACGCCCATTATAGGATTATATCTGATAATTGTTGTTAACTTAACTATTAATTAGAGCTAAAAATATTACCTTGTTTTGCTATCATCACCCTCAATTTTTCTAAAAAAATTAATTTAGTACTGAATCTTCCAACTATGATTCCTTAGATCTTTTCTTGCCTCAGAGCGAACAAACATCAGTAATTTTTTCTCTTCTTTGTCAGTATTATATGAGCTATCCATAGTCTCTAACAATTACTTTAACAATTCAACACGTAAATTCCCTTCACTACAACACAAGATTACTTACTGGTAAACACACTACACATGTGAATGATATCGCTCTCGTGCAATCGTTCACTAGTTCTTCGGAAGATCGGGCTTAGAATTTCGCTATTTAATTAAAATTGGGTTTACTATTCAAATTCATGAGATTTCAAGAAGTCAAGTCTTGAACGGACGTTGTATTTAGATTATCTGTTTCATTAATTCAAAATAGGTTTAACTTCGAGTGTAATTTCATTTATTTATGTAAGTTTGTAACTTTATTTTTATATTTTGAGTAACAGTTTGATGACTAGACGTGGGAGCCAGGTGACTTACTTGGATTATCAAATTTCGGGAGACTTTCAAGATTATTTCATATTTCAAATTCTTATTAATTATATTTCCCATTTTCAAAATGTTGGTGCAATATTCTTCACAGAAAGGGGAATTCCTCACGAGTTGGCATCGAAGCCGTAGCTAGATCGACTAAAATAGGGATGGCTTACCAAGGTATCTGAGGGTTTCCCAGAAAGAAAAGAGGTCTTGAGGCGAGCTCATAAAAATTTTTTGAAATATAATACTATTAAATATTTTTAGCACAGTTTTGCGCGTACGTTAGTACCGGTACGTTACAAAACGTAACAAAAGTACAGTACATACAAAACGGCAAAAATATTCGAAATTTAAACCTTAAATATATTTTAAATATATATATATATTTTGTTTCTATATAAGAATTTGTTTCTATGTATGTTCTTGTAGATTAATTTCATGTTATAATTTCTTTTCCTAATAAGAATTTATTTATAGTTTTACAAATTGAAAAGTTTTCTGAATATGTGTATTTTCATAAAGCATTTTGAAATTGCAAATATTCTCATTTCTATTTTTGACGAAATTTAAATAATATTTCAAGTGTGTGCCACCTTTTATCTTATGTAGAATCTTATAATATGATAGAGATGGGTTGATGATGATAATAATAAGCGCAGAGCCCAAACGGTTAGGAATTAAAAGTTGAAATTTGGTACACCAGATTGGGTACGTCACCAAAACGTACACTAAGAAATGATTTTTCGAAATTCTCCCCGAGGGAGGGAGGGAGAGGATTAAGGCTTATCTTAAAGAACTCCGCATTCTATTGTACTAATTTAGATGCAATTTTTTATTTTTAACTGGATTTTAGTAGGGTACGCCATGAAAATACACCGTAATAAGAAATTTTTGGAAATCTCCCTGCGGGGGAGAGGTAGAGGGTTAAGGATTACCTTGAAGAACTGGGCTTCTATTGTACTATTGTAGATTCGGTTTATTGCGTTTTTGACTGCGTTTTAGTAGGGTATGCCATGAGAATGTACACTAAAAAGGGATTTTTCGAAATTCCCTCCCGCGGAGGAGAGAGAGATAGGGTTAAGGATTACCCTGAAAGAACTTGGCTTCTACTATACTATTTTAAATGCGGTTTATTGCGTTTTAGTAGGGTATGCCATGAAATGCTTATTAAGAAGGGATTTTTGGAAATTCAATTCTTTGCGGGAAAAGGAGGAGAGAGTTAGTTTTAGTCAGTATAAAGAAGGAAAGTAAATAGTGGCACATATACTATACATTTTGGAAATTAATATATATTTTAATCATTTCCACTCTGAGTAACCCAAAATAAATGAATTCGAACGAATATTCGAATTGGTTCCAAATTCGAAATATAATGCTCCAAACAAGTTTAATTAAAATTATTAATTCTAAAATCTAAAAATAATCATTTTATTCAAGTAAGGTTATAATCAAGTAAGTTAATTCTCCATTATAATGAGAATTAGCATCTTGCCTGAGCAATGCCCAGCTCATCTGCTGGTAAATTATAAAATGCTTTATAATTTATTTAATTCAAAAATTATGCAAATCCCTAATAAAATATTTTGTATTTTTAAGATACCTCAATTATTATGAACAATATCAAGAATATGATCCATTTATTACAACTCCTGAAGCATCAAATCCATGGATTTCAGATAACTGTGACTTTTGGGAATTGGAAAAGCAAACGTTTGTAGACTTCTATTTGTTAAAATTACTTATAGTTAATTGTTTAGATTTTTACAGTAAACATTAATTAAAAAGCATAAACATTCAATGATTATATCTAAATAGAAAAGATATACCAGCAAGGAGAGTAAAAAGATGGGGATTTTCACTCAAGGAATTACTTAAAGATCCAGCAGGAAGAGAACAGTTTTATAAATTCCTAGAAAAGGAATTCAGTGCTGAAAATTTGAAGTAAATACTTTTTTTAATACTAATTAATGTAACAATTAATTAATTTTTAAAAAATTCATAAAAATTTACTTTTAAAGATTTTGGGATGCAGTAGAAGAATTAAAACAAGTACATTCTAAAGATATCCCTATCAAAGTTCAAGAAATTTGGAAGTAAGACTTCTAATTCCATAATAAAACTATATAAATAAAATTTTTGTACTATAAAATTATGTTTTCAGTGAATATTTAGCTCCTGATGCAAATTGCCCAATCAACATAGACTCTAAAAGTTATGAAATTACTAAAAAGAATATGGAGAATCCTGACAGATGGACCTTCCAAGAAGCTGCTGTAAGTTGTTTTAAATTATATTTTTTGTCAGTTTTAAGTAAAACTCACACAAAATATAATACTCACTTTCAATTTTAGGCACATCTTTATCTTTTGATGAAAAACGATAGTTATGCCAGATACTTAAGATCAGAAATGTATAAAGAATATCTAAATGGTATAAAGAAAAAAGTAAGTTCTGAAAATTTTTCTTACATTATGACACATGTATTGAATTATTAAATTTTATTTACTATTATTACAGCAAAGCAAATTATTTATTCCAAAATTACCAAGTCTGAGTATAGGCTCTTGAACAAATTTTATTCTAAAAATTGAACTTTTTGGGACAAATTGTGTTTTCATTCCCAATACCATCATTAAATGATCATATTTTCTATATGTATCATTTGGAGTGCAAGATAATAAGCAATATACTGTGTACAGTACGTGAAATTTTGCATTCTGCCAAATATTCCAAAGAAGTGCATTCGTCAAAAGATCAGCAGTAATTAATATGCCAAATGTTTTAATAATTATTTTCTATTTATTCAAAGTACATTTGACTTTGGATGATCAAATAGTTTACAAAGAGCATATCCACTTTCATTTTCATTTTAAATAATAATTTAAAAACCATAAATGTATAGTTTAGAATCATATACAAAAAACATTTCAATATTTTTCCATAGAAATGTATAGAAAAGCAAAATTTTCCACCATGTAAATATAATCAAATATATATATATATAAAATTGTAAAATAAGCTTGATATTTCATCCCTGCAAAACTGTTTTTAAACACCATCGTGCTCTCTGTAAAAATGCATGGCTTTTTCATAATCGAACAAAAAGTAATTGGATTTAAGAAAGAAAAAATATCAGTTAAATTTTTAAGAGCATGTGCTGTCTACTGTTCTTACAAAAACCCAAAAAATAAGTAAATATATATACTGTATACATACATATAGTAAAAAATTATATTTATATTTCAAAAATACATTATGCCCATATCAAATTAAATTTTTAGCATTTCTCAACCTAAAATTTTGAATATAATAAACTGTTAATATTCTGTAATAGTTTGATAGATGTTTCTTGTTCAATATCATATATTGTATTGTGCATGGCTGTTAAGTACAAGAACATAAATGCCCTTAAGTGCAGCTGCTTTATGAAAACATGCAATCAGATGTACAGTATTTATAAATGTTAATATATAAGAAGTGCGTATCTTTAATTTAAAATTTTTAGATATACAATTGATAATCAGTATTATTTAATTAACCCCTCTGCACTTTAAATAAAAAAGTTAAATACAGGGAGTGTATGTATTTATTTGGTAAATTCTCTTATACAGATAAATAATAAATGACCATTGATTTAATTTCATAAAATGTTCTAATAAGGAACTTTTTGCATAATTATTAATACTCATACATTCTGAATTAAAAAAATATATTTATAACAATAAGTGTGAGGGGTTAATTTATAGAGTGAAAACAAAACAGAATTTTACAAAAATAGTGCATTTATATTCTAATTGAAATTTCAAAACAAACACAAAAAAAAATTAAATCCTTGAAATTTTACTTTATTTTAAATAACTATTTTAATAGTAAGTTGTTTGAAAAAGGGACCAAATCTTGGTAATTAGTGGCAGTTCTTGTTATAGCTAAATGGAACTTTGAAAATGACTACAGTGATTTTCCAAAACTACTAAACTTTTTTTGTTGAAAGCCTTCGGTTTCAAAGTTTAAAATAAAGATTCAAAGTAATCAAATTATTGATCTCTCCACCAAAAAGAATAAGTAGAGAAAGGTAAATAGCATGCAAAAAATGTTTTGGGAAGCTTTACTACTATATTTCTTTGGCATATTTTATTGCATATGCGACCCTAAACTTGCATCAGCAATTTAGCTTCAAAAACTAAACTGCCAATTAAAATGCTTAAAAATACATGTGATATATATTTAAAGAAAAGACTGCATTATCAGTATTGATGTATCTATAATCCAGTGCTTATTTGTACATATTCCAGTTTCGATAATCGACTTTTCCTTGGCAATCGACACAAGAAAGAAAAACCATAAATTTTCTTTTGATTTGTAAATAACGATAATATTGACTTTTGAAAATTTCAGCTACATTAATTTATTGTAATAGCAGTAGAAATATTAAATTTATCCCGGAAATAATTATTTGTATTGATTTGTCAGTAATGTTCCTTGTAAGAAAGCAAAGCATATTAATCTGTTGTGAATATGTATGCTTGAGATTAAAAATAAATTAAGTTAGAACAACTTTTGTCATAATTTTTGACATTTATTTTCATTAATAATTATATAAACCAAATAAATTTTGCATTAGAAAAACAAATGCCATACATTTTTAAACAATCAACATAAGCTTATCACGAAAGAAGTTACATTCTTGCTCAACATTTAAATAGATATAGAAAAGTACTTTTACTTTATCCCATAGTTGTGACCTGAAAACAAGAGCACAATTATTAATACAGAAATTATCATGATCGTTATCATATAACTTATTCGCTTACGATGTCATCGATCTTCAAAATGCTCCGAACGGTCTCGGCTGCTAATGTCACCGCACTAATGGATACCAGAAGTGGCTGGACGACACTTTCTTCGAGAATATTTGTCACAGCACCCTAGAAGAAGGTTGGATTTTTCTCATCCGAATTGAAAAGCAAATTGTTATTTTACACGTCAAAATCATACCTTTCTAACATTGATGCCTGCAGTTTTATCACCTTTTGCATGTCTATTACGTAGTTCGGTCACAGTGGTTATCGGATTGAGACCTGCATTTTCGGCCAGAGTAGATGGAATTATTTCTAGAGCTTCAGCAAATGCCCTGTAACAATAAGCCTCCATGCCCGTAAGGGTGCGGGCGTATTCCATAAGCTTCAAGGAAAGTTCGATTTCGGGAGCACCACCTCCAGCAATCAATGCTCTGTAAAATGTAAGATTTTACTTATTTAATATTGAAACTGTAGATATTGTCACAAAATGATGATTGCTAAAAAAATGAATATTTTCTGTGAACAATTAACAAAGCAAAAATACTTATTCATATTTTTCATCAGCTTTTATTAATGAACAAATATTCCAGCTTCCTAATACATTGCTTTGTTTAATAGTATATCCATTGATATGGCATAGTTTCATTTGTCTTAATAAATCTACTTAAAATGATTTTAAATGCAAGGATTGGTCAAATGAAGACCCGTTTAAGACGATGATTATACATTTCTTAAACCTGAAAAGTTTAATCCCAAAATTATATGCTTTTCATTTTCATATAAATCATTTCATTTGAATTCTATAAAATCCTATTATGATAGATCAGAACAAAAATTTATTTTTTAGGATGTACAAAATGCAATGCTTTAGGGCTGTTTCACACTATGACCAACTGGACCGTGTTACCATGGCAACAGCAGTCTGCCGACTGACTAGTCCAGTGATGGGCAAACTTTTTAAAGAGCGGGCCAAAGGAAAAGAAGAAAACTTTAGGCGGGCCAATATAATTGTAACCTAGCGCTGCATCTGAAAATCCAGGTGGCGCTATAAAAACATGTGCAGGCCGTCCGCCATATTTCTTTTTCCCTCTTTCGGCTACGCTATGCACGACGAGTGGATGTTCTGTACCGAAGCATGCTTGTAACCGATCGAGCTTTTACTCAATAAGTGTAAAACAAAATTTTGTACATGATTGTAAATAAACTTTCATGGTGAGATATAAAGCTTCGGTTATTTTATATAATCAACGAACACTCAAGTTAAGTGGTGCATCAACCACCACAGTCTGTATTCTTTTTTACTCGTCAGATTAGGAATAATGTTGCGCGGGCCGGATAGAACATTTCAGGGGGCCGCATCTGGCCCGCGGGCCGTAGTTTGCCCATCACTGGACTAGTCGTTCCAGTTGGACAGATTTGAAAAGTTAAATATTTGTAGTTGGGTCGGAGCAGTCGGTGAGCTACAGCCAATGAGAGCTTCGAAGCTATAACCAATCAGAGTTTAGATTTATCCAATCTACATAAAAGTTAGAAAATGGCGGAAAGTATAAATTTTTCGGAAGCTTTAATAAACGAAGTCAGAACATATCCGTGGCTTTGATATTCAGCTAGGTGATTATAAAGACAACATAAAAAAAATAATTCTTGGACGGAGATTTCCAAGAAACTAAACGTTGAAGGTACGTGATTGACTAATCTAATAATGACGCGATATATTTAAATGTACAATCACTTTCCACGACACCCATGTTTTCTGTTTAATTTAAAAAACTTACCATGATTGGCTAGTGTATTGATCTATAACATGCATTCTGATTGGTCCTTATGAGTCGGCCACCAACATATAATCATACTCAGTGTGAATGCTTTTACTACTAGTCAGTCCGATTATAAAATCGGTCCAGTTGGTCATAGTGTGAAACAGCCCTTAATCTCCAGTTACTATTCTCACTACCGTAGTGGAAAATACATCATCACCCTTCAAATGTTTAAGAATAGAGAAACACCTGCAATTTATTGCCTGAAAATTATAATCTATTGCATTAGATATCATACCAATTTCATCATTTGCACAGCAAGATCTGGTCAGAACATTGAACATGGGTGCCATGTTTGCACATTCTCTTGAAGTCTCATAAGAATTTATGAGACTTCAAGAGGTGAGGAGAAGTGTGTTTCTGTTATACTGCACAAGAAAGGTTATTCTACTAGATAGCCATGACATAGGACTGACATTACATTAAATTAAACATGACATTAAATTCAACTCTGTGCAACCTATTAAAAAATGGAAACTAGGAGTACTGCCTGAAAGAAAGACCCCAGGATCAATTTTTGGAGTGACTTTCTTTTGCTACAAAACAAAGCAGTATTCATTGACCTGAAACTGGTATGAGAAAAGTATACTTGTGTGAGAAATAAGTTGCATATGAGGTCCTACAAAGATTCCACTGTTGATGAAGAAAATGAAGTCTGCTCATCTCAAGTGGGCAAAAGAACAAAGCATAAACTTGGTATTTTCTCCCATGGTTCCAATAGAATACAGTTTGTGTGACAAGCTTTGGAAAAATATTTTGTTGATTACATAATAGAAAGTGTGAAGCATCTACATGATCAAATGGTATGAGGGTTGTATTTTCCATGCAGGTTGGCCAGCTTTGCATCATAGATGATATAGTGAATGCTGGAGATACATAAAGATCCTTGATTGCTCTATGTGTACATCACTAAACTTGTTTCTGAAAATACATTGCAATGTCCTTTTTTAATATGATGGAGTGCCTTGTCATCAAGCCAAAATAGTAATCTAAAAATGTATAACTATTTGCTATCTAGCATTTCCTGCAGAAATATGATAGTTATATATACAGGATATGATATTTAGCTATGGTCACTAATTATAGCATGTACTTTTTGGAGATTCTAAAACGTTGCAGATTTAGCTGATATTAACCTGCTTTTTCAAACCTTCATCTAACAGATTCTCCAAAATGTTCTGCTTCTGACACAGCAACTATTTCCATATGAACCTACAGGTTGTCAATCCTGAATATTTGCATAGTACTTTCTTATCAAGACTAAAAATTAATATTTTTAAACACATAAGTGCATATTCTATTTTCTTAAAAAGATTAATTTAATCACAAAGTAGTAGTAATTTTTCAAAGGATTAATTTGCACTTCATTATGCTCCTCTACAAGGCGACTTTTAGTGTGTCCTAGCTAAGGGCAATTATTTAGCTGCCATAGTTTTGCAGGAAGTGCTCAAAAGCATATAAAAATTTATAATCTAATAAGTAGTGGTCAAAAAATTGTATTTTAACTGTTATATTCTTCCTAACCTTGCATAATATACCAAATAACCTTGATGCTGCATCATGGAATGTCAGCCAATGTGTTGTTGAGTATTTTATAAATCTATGCTTGGGCAACTTGATCTTTTCTTGCACAACTTCATAACTTTCACATCGAACAGATCATCCATCAAAAAATTGTAAACTGTCACAATAAGTTCTGATGTATTTTCATCCAGTTCACTTAATGCTTTCAGATATGTGTTATTAATAATATGAATTGTACATGTTCCAATGTCAACAAGGCTTTTCTTGCAAATCCCCAGTACATCTTCCTTAAAGTCATAAAACTTTTGGTTAACATTAGGACCATCTGATCCTATCATCAAAAGTTTGTGCAATGACAGATTGGCATAATCAATAGCCTTGATAATGTGTGTATGCAATGTTTCTGCATTGCTCACTCAAGAAAACATGTAATGTTATTTAGGTGTCTGCAGACAACCTGTTCTTTTTGCTCAGACCAAAATCTAATCATTATTTGTAACTCTTTCTTACTTTCCACATTGCTGGTTTCATCATACTAATTGTAAAGAATGAATAGTAAGCTTCTTCTAGCATTGTTTTGGGAATCAATGCTTCAGTTATTAAATAGTGCAATTTCTTCTAACTCACTTCAGGAAGTTTAGTTTTTGGAAGTATTGCTTGTAGTGTTGGAACCATATTAGAAGCAAATGAGAAATTACTACATATTGTTTTCATGGCCCATACAAGTTCTCCATGGTATGCAGCATCTCTTGGATTATATAAACTCACAGTTGTTGATCCAGTCATGTCAGCATTACTTGGAATTTCATCATTTTTTGATGGGCCTGAGAAATTATCATCTGGCACAACCCATGTCAAGTGTAACTATCTTGGACCATAAGCACAGGTAAATTTTTGTCTGTGCTTGGCAGGATCTCCATGATCAAAAAGCATTTGAAACATTTTCTCACTTGTATTATGCAATTACACACTTTGCAAAATACATCAGTGTCTGAACGTACAGTTGCCCATAATCCTACTGTACAATCTGCCTTGTCCTTTTGTTTCGAACAATCAGTTTGGATTTGCACTTTGGTAGTGTCATATTGAGTAGATTCAAACCATTCCATCCATCCTCTATACCAGGGATTGGCAAACTTTTTGATCGTCGACCCCACCAAAAAGTTTGTGTGTATATCTTTTAATTTTACATTTATTGTACATATGTTAATAATTTTTGTAACTGACAATCAATGAGACAGATAAGCTTGATAATCCTTGGCAAGATTAGCAATATTTGGTTCGATATTTGTAAGTTTGTCTTTTCGTCGACCCCCCCAATAATGTTATATTGGCCCCTGGGGGTTGATATAGACCACTTTGGCGACCCCTGCTCTATACTCTAACAGATTGACCAATAAAAATCTCTAGCGGAATGATACCGACAATCACAATTGGAAGTGAGTAAACATGTCTTGACCACTTCTCTGCATGTGTTAAAATAGAACAGAAGAATAAAAATTACCAATAAACTAAAGCAAAATTTATAAAATTATTTTTAGCATATTTTAGCAATTGTATGTAACCATTCAAAATATCTAATTTTGATAATTTAAATATATATAATTTGTCAAAAATTAACATTAAATATATATTATTTATATCTACACAAAATATATTTACAATTCAATAGTTTAATGTATTTCAAAATTTTATTTGTATATAAATTTTCCATTTTTCTAATGTGACTGTTATAGTAATTTGAAATAAAATTGATTTTGTTCACAATAAGAGTTGTTAAATGATAAGCAGCAGAAAACAAAACTTTTATGCGCATGATCAGAAACTGTTTATTTTTTTAATGCTTCAAGATGTGTAAATAGTGATTTAAAAACAAATTAATAAATCTGAAATAAACAGATTTCAAATAGTATAAGTAAAATAATATTTTATTAATGATTTCATAAATAACGAACTTTTTCCTGCAGATGAATAAGAAGCAATATTGTTCATTTAATGAATATGCAGACTTATCGAACAGTGGAATTTTTTCAATTCCTGGACACACATCTTCACATGTAAAACTATACAAATCCATCTTTTATAATAGTTTAACACACCACTTCCAATTTTTCCAGATTATACCTACTACCCTTGGTTGATTTGAAACAAGAATACTCTTAACTAGAAACTTACTTTGTATTTTGAATACTTTTATCTATATCTACTCTATATTCTATATATTTTACATATTAACTCTTCGTTGTCCAAAGTTTCACTGCCCAAATGCCACACTGCATTGCCATTTTCAGTTTTCACACGCAACACTACCCCTCCCCATACAGCTGCACGCCTCTACTACCCACCATTTTAAATACAGACGTTAAACTTCTATCCAACAAAATTTAAATTGTGACACTATCATTTATAGTTTACGATATATAAGCACAACAAATTTTGCCATTTGTTTGGTTGCTCCAGTTATCGTAAACCTCCCTATACCACACCGAATTTAAAGATATGTTCGGATCAAGAGCGACAGACAGATTCCATGGTTGCAGGTTCCCTGACTTTCCATGACTTTTTCTGCTAAAAATCTTATTCCCTTTTCAGGCCTGTACAAAAATTTGTACAGACCTGGAATAAAAGGGATTTTTGTTTCATATAACTTAAAAACTGCAACTGCCACTCAGCGTTGTTAAGTCCTGCTTGAGGACAAGTATTTTCTTCCTGAAAATTCTAGTGAGATAGTTTGGCAGATCATCTGGCTTTAAAAGTACTTTTGATTGGTCCCACATCTTCCTAATTAAGCACATGGAAATGACCTGAAAAGCGAATACAAGTGAGCAACTCCAGGCCTGCAAATGTAGTGATGTACTTTTAATGTTTTGTCTAAAGAAGTTCAAAACCTGCAGATTTGGGGAGGATATGCATGTCCACCATCATAACAACAAAAAACATTTAAAACACCCACAAGTGCAGTCAGTGGTCTACAAACTCCATCAATTGGTTAAAACATGCATGTGTGTGGCTGGGCCACAGAGCATGCATGTTTGTTTTGAAAAATTATTTATCACAACATTGATCTTTATGATGGGCTTTTAACATACACAAAGTAAAAAATTGTTGTAGCAATCAATGTAAATTGATCGTAATGGTAATCTCAAGTGATGTGTTGTGCAACCATCTTACAACCGGCAATTAGCCCATAGAATTTACATGGCAAATTTTGACCTCAAATATCTCAGACCATAGCCAGAATTTTTAAATTCCATCTTTGCCACAACATTGGCCTTGCTGAGTTGTACATATCTGCAAAAAAATCATGTTTAGTGGTTGTGCGATTGTTTTAAACTTTGAACACAGACAAAATACCTCGTGAATTATGAAGAGCTCTGTTCAACAATTGTAAACAAAAACCTATCTGAAAGACATATTTGGACATGCTTACTGTAATTTCCATAAAAATCTTTAAGGTATTTATCTCAAGAGACTGGATTATTTTATGATTCTGTTCATACAAAATAAAGGTTGTCCATTCAGAGTTACTTTTTGTAATGCATTTTTTAATATTCACTTGCTGGAAAAACCAGCAAGTGAATATTAAAAAATGTTTACAATGGACTTCTAGACTCATATTTGTTTTTATACATGATGATTCATGGTTATGTAAATTCCCAAAACATTCACTGATGAATGAAATTCCTCAATGTGTCAAATGTTCAGCATTTAAGTACAGTAGAGCGTCTTTTATCCGAAAGTCGATTATCCAAAACATCAGTTATCCGAAAGAATTCCAGTCAGCAAATTTAAATTTTTGCTAGTGCTGTGGCACTGCAATCTTTGGCTATATCTTGGGCTACTCCAATATTTTTTTTTTTGATGATGTGTGTGTTTTAGCTGGCAGCACGGGCACTTTTGTGTGGTGTTTTTCTGAGGACTGTGTGTCATGCTGAACATTTTTGATACTAGATTAACTTCTAAAGTATAATTTTTTTGTTTTTGTATTTTTCAATATATTTATTTTGTTTGTAAAAAATAAAGAAATAATTTTTAACAATGCAATAGCCATAATTACTATTTTAAAAAGTTTACATCAGACTTAACATCGATGAAAATTCAATGCAAAGCAATGTTCAACATGGGATAGGTTAATATATTTTTTCGTACATAATCGGTTATCCAAACAACCTTAGTCCTCAATTGATTCGGATAAACAACGCTCTACTGTATTTCTTGCAATGTAGCAAGGCAACAACATATATTGCCAAGTCTGACCCTCGATATCAAACTGCAAACACAAACCCTCATTTTGTTTAATTGCCCAAATAAAAAGCAAAGTACTAATTAAACATTATATATTAAATCAGGGCTTCTTAAACTATGGGTCATGACCTCATTTGGGGTTGCGAGATTTTAATGCAAAATATTGAAAATAATTTGGGAGAGTTTGAAAATGGCACGCTTTGTGTCATAGGTTTCGTGAGTTGTGCTTTGTGTCACTTCTGGTGTAGCAAGACAATGATTCAGCAACACTGTAGTGTGAACTAGTGTAGTGTTGTCGCTTTTCAGTGTATTCAGTTGTGTATGTTCCATTGTAACACAAGAATGAACTGTGGTAGCACACCATTATTGTTTTTGTAAATTTGTATATATCTTTATTTTAGATTTTTTTTGGGGTCGCGAAAAAATTCACAATCATAAATGGGATCGTGAATATAAAAGTTTAAGAAGCCCTGTATTAAATGAAGTGGGTGGTAGTAAGTGAAAAAACAAAACCTAAGTTTATATCGGCAAACATATTAAGACTCAACTGTTTACATAATTATACTTAGATATGAGGTAATCATGTTCTTACCTTTTTTTGACAAGACAACGAATAACACAGAGAGCATCATGAAGAGATCTATCGGCTTCTTCTAAAACTAGTTTATTAGATCCTCTTAGTAACAGTGTCACAGTTTTTCCCGGATTTGCTACACCCGTTATCTAATAAAATAAAAGTATATTATGAATAGTATATAAAAAATATAAGTAAATTTCTTACAAAATAAATAAGTTTTCTCACTTTTATAACTTTAGAATCTCCAGTTTGAACTTCTTCTATCAAATCAGCACTTCCAAGCGCTTCGGGCGTAAAATGATCGAGACTTGCAATAGGCCTACAACCCAAACTCTGTTGAGAAAATAAAAAATAATTTTTTTTTCAATGAGAAAGAGTATTGTTTATTGTTTGACACTCAAAGTGGAAGAAACAAAGAAAAATTTTTGAGTTAACAAAATTTTATTAATTTTAAAGAACTACCATTATGTTAGAGAGATTGTAAGTACCACAATATAATTAGATTTAAATACATTATTTTTAGATAAATATACATGTAAAAATAACAAAACCTTGACACTTTTACCAAAAAACGTCCATTAAACAAGTTTTGTTTTCGACGATTTGGCACTTCTTGCTTGACAATGTTTTTGATGCTGCTGACTGCCTCAAAAGCATCTTGTTTTATGAATGATGCAGTTTCTAGAAAAGCCCTTAAAAGCACGAGAGCTTTCTGGCTTTACTACACGTTTTCTTACATGTTGTAAAGCCAGAAAGCTCTCGTGCTTTTTTATACTTTTATTATTACTTTTATACTTTTAAGAAAACAGGATATTTATTTCTGACAAGATTTACTTTTTCCCCCATCTTCATTGCTTGTTTCTCGCACTCAATACTTTATTTCAGATAAGATTCCACAGCCAGCTAGATTGATGTCAACAAAATATGCAAAAATGACACTTTTATCACTCATTGCCATAACGAGCTTCTTCAATACAGTTGGATGGATCCCAATGAAAATTCTGATTTATCCAAACTGTCAACAAATTGTTGAACAAAACCTACTTTTGTAAAGCAATTTCATTCCAAGCTTTATTAATCATTTGCATTGCATCTAGTATGTTCACTCATGATCCATCTTCAATAGCATTCAACATCTTTTGTACAATAAGCCTTCTGCATCATAATTTAAAGCTTTGAATGATTCTGATCTAAAGATTGCAATGTAGTTGTATTTCATGGTAAAAATTAAACTGTTTTAACTTTCAGAATTGGAATCATTAAACTTGCACTGCAATTGTCAATAAAAAGAATAATCTTTCTGTTTTTGGCAATCGTGTGAATGTCTAACCTTTTTAGCCAGTTAGAAAAAAAGCTTCGACATCATCCACATTTTTTTTATTTATTGCATAATGTATAAGTAACACTTGGCATTCAGAAATAACGAGGCTTTAAAAGATTTTCCAATTAAGTAATGAAGAACTGTCATCATTATTATCTGTTTGTTTCCAAAAGAAAAGTAACATGTTTGTTTATTTATTTTTTTTTTGTCTGATGAATTTTGAACATAATATTTAAATGTCTACTAGACGAAACAGTAAGCCCATTTCATCTGCATTGAAATATCATCTGAACTGTAGTTCTACACAATTTCTGGTAAACTTCTCTACCACTTTCTCATTTCATTTTCAGCTTTTATTGAAAACTATTCCACGATTCTTAAATTTATCCAACTAACCACTGCTTACTTTGAATACAATATATCCCATCTGCTTTCCAAACTGACTCTTTTTCATTGACAAGAATATTAGATGTACAAACCACTTCAGCATGAACTTTTCAGTATCTGGATACTCAATCTGATTCTGTTGTTTATTGAAGTTTTCCAAAATCTTCTCCTTGTTTTTCAGATACAAAGAGATATTATTCAATGAGAGGTCAAATTCTTTTGCAGTTTCTGAATTTTCCTTCTTGCTTTCCACTGATCTTTAAGACAAATCTTTTGATAAGACAAATCTTGTTTGATAAGATTTGACTGATAAGACAAATCTTGTTGATGCTATCAACAAGATCTTTAGTTTTCTATTGTTCACCTTTTCTAACTACTTCAGAATGAATATAGCCAATACAATGATTAACTGTTTACTAACAGCAATGACAATGCCACAATTCAAACTTTACTGTGAAATTAATAGTATGAAAATTTTATTTTAAATAAAAAGATATGTACGGAAAAATTCATAAATTTGATAGGCCAATAACTCAGTAAGTTGTTAAATCACATACAAATCTTTAAAAAATTTTTAATTTTGAAAATTTAAAAATTATTACAATAATTTTGAAGCACTAAGATTTGATTGGCCAATTTGCATTTAACAAGATCATTACATTAGAGACAACACACAATTCAGAGGCATGGTTCTGTATAATATAAATCTTCACCTTCATATCATCCATATCTTTGAAAGTGAGAAAAAAAGCAAACAAAATTAAGCATAAGATATCTAAATCTCGAATTTTAAATTAGTAAAATGCAATTTGACTTACAGAAACTCAATGCCTTGAGTCTATGTGAGTTAACTCAAATTTTATTTTTGTCTCAAGCAATTAAACCTATCAAGAATCTAATGTAGTATTATAAGACATTTTATGAAAGTGTATAGAATTTTAATTTATTAACAGTGTTCTTATCCATTTAATAATTACTTGGTGTTAATATTTTCTATAACTGATTAATATTTAGGATTTTTAAAAAATTCAATTTAACATACTGTGACCATGAACTGTAAGCAATGAAAATAGTAAACAAACATTGCTAAACCCGATACATAACATAAATAAACACCAACGATATGCCGAAAATCTATCGGGCTAGTATTATAAAATAGTAAAGCCAAGCTACTAACAAAATGATAAAACAAAGTCGGTGTCCAAAAATTTTACATCAAAGTTATATTAATGATAAACCAACGCATACATCTCTATTTAAAATCGATACATCAGTATATAAGATGCAATACAGTAGACCCCCCCTATAATTACAGTCCCTATAATTACGATTCCTATAAAACTGCAAAAAAATTGCAACGGTATCTGTAAAAAAACTTCTATAATTACGTAAAACGTCATCGGGCAGCCGAACTATTTTCCGCCGTCAAGTGCCGCGCTACGGAGAGTTTGCTATCGTCTGTACAGTATTATATATAAATTAGGTACTGTACATATAATTATATATTAATTATATATAAATTAGGTACTGTATATATAATTATATATTAACTTATTGTAACTTTGTTATAATTAAATATATAATTTCCGCCGTCTAGCGTGGCGCCACGCTACGGAGATTTTACGCTAACTATCGTCTGTACAGTATATAAATTAGGTACCGTAAGTCTAATACAGTACTGTAATTTTATACATTTCTTGTGAAAGAAACATTTCTTATTCAACGGCGATTAAAATTATTTATATTAATGATGTCTCCAAAGTTCAATGAAGTTTTCGCAGAAAAATAAGTTATCAGAAATCGGCCACGGTTTGGTGTGCTGCTTCGTGACGAAAACAAGCTTTAGCAATGGTGATGTTGAATGGTGCACACTCGGTAAGTAATCCTACAATTTTTTGTTTATAGCGTAGTTTATACGGATTATTTCCAAAAAATATACACGTATTTTGGAAATGTTGAGTCGGATTAGTCTAGAATCGATTAATTTTATGAAAGAAAACCTTTCAATCAGCCATAGTCCGTAAACTTCACACGTGTCGGGCTGTGATTGGAAGGACACATAAGAAATCAGATTCCTAAAGAATGGAACGTATCTATGATCTTATAGGGGGGGTCAACTGTATTTGTATTCCTTATCTGACAAACATTAATAAATGTTATGGCAGGATCAAATTAATTTTCAGGACATCTATAATTTCCATTCAATAATATATATATTACTTATATATACCTTGAACATAAAAATGCTTTTAATAAATTTGAGAAGAAAAATAGTGAAGACTATTACAAATCAAGAAAAGAAGTTAGGGAAAACAAGTCCAAAATATATTTTTGATATTTGATGCAAGTTTCAAGTTAATATATATTTAAACCTTGAATCTTTATATTTGGATAATTAATTAATCCACAATACATTGAAATTTTATTGAAAATTTTACACATTATCTGTCTCCTTGATTAATATAAATAATTGGAAAATAAAAAACAGAAAAAAAAAGAAAATAGAACTTTATTCTTCTTTTCCTACAAACGTAAAAGATAATGGAAATATGTCATAAATGATGTGAAGCATATTGCACAATGAACTAATTTTTTGTTATTTTGTCTTATGTTTTCTATCATCATAAAATATAAATTGGCCTTTCCATTTTTATTTGCTTGTAAGAGGCATAAATTCTGAAAATATTATTTCAGATAAATTAATGCACTGGCTCAAATAATACTTGTTCCAAAATTGTATGCACATTAAATCTTTGTACACAATTATCAAAAATATTTGATTAGTGGAAAATTATAAAATTTTTCCAGTAGTAACTAAAGATTTTCTGATTCCAATGAAAATATAAATTTCTTATGAAATAAAACCATCTTGAATTTACATCTGTAAGATTAAACTTTAACTTACACAATAAATACAGTCGACCCCCCTATAACACTCTTGATAATTCCGTTTTATATGAATCCCATGTTGTATGAGTCACTTAGATTTTACAAATACTAAAATCTAAGTGACTCATACAACATGGGATTCATATAAAACGGAATTATCAACAGTGTTATAAGGGGGGGGTCAACTGTAATACACTAAATTGCGTGCACACACACACACATATATATATATATAAGCCAATATGCTTTTTAACTAGCAATCTGTAAATATCCTTCAGTGATTTAAAAAAATCATTTTAAATATAGTTAAGATATATTTCACAATTACCTTACAGATGAACTCAATGTCTTCCCTTTCAATGTCTTTAACTACTAATATCTTCATTTTAGCCAAAAAATGCAAAGCTAAGTCATTAACTGCATCTCTGAAAATTATATTTTATTTTCTTAATTTTGTTAACAGTTAATTTTAAAAAAATTATTATGTACTGGTACAATAAATATCATATACCTAAGAATAGACTTTTGGATTAAAAGTACAGTACATCCAGCTTTTTTAATTTGCTTAACAATATTTAATATGTAGTTACGTTCTTCACGCAAAACTCTATCCATCTGAGTGTAATCGGACACTATTACTTGGTTGTCCATCTATATCAAAATGAAGAAATAAATTTCAGATAATATATTAATAATACAAAATTAACAAATATATGAAAAATATGAAGAAAGTTTAAATTACATCAGTCTTTGGAGGAGAAATACAAAACTGAATAAGTCCAATTTTGGCTTTTTCAACTCTATGTGGACCGCCAGTACCGGCAGTTTTTTGAGTAAACACAAGTCCATCAACCAATTCGGTATCTTCGACCGTACCGCTAAAATAGAAATATTTCATTGTATTTCATAACTTAAAACCAAGATTTAGTTAACTTATTGCAAGAAAATTATTGAAATTCATCAATTTATATAAAATTAAAAATATTTTTTATAACAACAACAAAATAAATACCCAAGTTTCTTAATAATCTTGATATCTCTGAGATCTACATTTGTATCTACTGCTGGGTCAATAATTTTCATTATTGCATCAACAGCTATTGGAGCAAGAAGACTGGAATGTTGTGATACAACCTATCATAATATTTTAATTTAGAACAGTTAAATAATTTCATTAAAAGATGTTTAGAATGATCATATTTCTTACTTTAGAATTCAATGATGTAGAAGCACTTTTCAGAAGAGAATCTCTATCATTCAGATCAACAGGAATGGCCATCTCGGTCAATATTTCAATTGCATGCGCTGCAGCATTTTGAAAAGATTCAGATATTGTAGTTGGATGAATACCTACAAATTAAGATTACAAAATAAATGAGAAATGATTCATCATAATAGCATATGAATTTAAAACAATAAACTTTCAAAAGTTTTTTTGAACAAAAAAAAAATTTGCAGATTATACCTTTGGATAAAAGCTTAGATGCAGCATCGAGAAGACTACCGGCAATTACAACAACGGATGTGGTACCGTCTCCAGCTTCCACGTCTTGTGCTTTAGATAATTCTACAAGCTATAAAAATCACTTGGATAATTAATTTTTTCCTACCTTAAATTAATAATAATAATAATAATAATAAATTAAAATTATTCAAAATTCATTAAATAAAAGAATAATTTAAAAAATTGTTAATCCTTCCTAGTGCTGAATGTTAGGTACTGTACCTGGGTACTTAGATACCTGTCTAAAAGACTGTGCATACAATACAAAAAATCATAAATATGTAAAGTAATTTTTAAACTATAGAGAATGTTTACTAATCATATTTTGTCTACTTAGTTTTTAACTGAATATCTTTTTCTAATGAATTATCATTTCAAATTTTTAAAAGATCAGTTTGCTAAAATTTTTTATTGATTAAAATTGTTCATTAGAGAAAGAAATCTTTTTAGAAATGCTGACTATGTTTAAAATAAGACATGTTATATCAAATAATTTATCCTGTTATTAATTTGCAACTGTAAAACATGACTTCGACAAGAAAGAAAAAAGTGTTTATTTATTTATTTATTTTTCATTAATAAATCCTATAATCCATTAAAAAAGTATAAATTTATAAAATTGTCCCTTAAATTTTACAAATTATATAACTTTATATTAACAAACTGAAAAAATATTTAAGCAGAAATTACTTATTTTGTTACACAATTAAAATTGTTAAAATAAGAATTGAAAAATGTTAAAATGGTATCATTTAAATTACAATTATTTTTAAATTTTGTACTTTTAAACCAGTTCATTAACATCTGCCTCAAATTGAGTATGTGAAAAGTAATTATGTTTGAAAAGAATTAAAAAATTATGAAATTTTTTTGTCTGCATTAGATTATTGAGAATTCAATAATCTAATACAGACAAAAAATTTCCTTATAATTATAATTTTCCTTAATTAACACAGAATTTTTCAATGTCCAAAATGTTTCAAAATTTAAATGTACAATACCAATTGATATTATACTAGGGTCTTGGCTGGATCCTTTTGGGGAGCATTTTGCAATGCTTATTCCTGCATTGCATTCTATAATAATTCATCACTTAAGCAATTAAGTTTTAAAATTCTTATTCAGAATATGTTATAATGTAAAAATTATTGTTTTGATATTTTTGCAAAAGTTTTAGAAGTTAGTCGTGGAATTTAAAATTCCATTTTAAATTTCAAAAATTACAACTCACATCTTGGTGAAAGAAGTAAGCATTTGTATTAACTCTTTAAACATGAAATCAGCTTAATCCATTCAAGATGAAATTTGTGAAAATTAAAAAAATATCGTGTTTCCCCGAAAATAAGACATCCGCAGAAAATAAGACCTAGCACAGATTTTGCTGAATTGCGAAATATAAGACCTCCCTCTGAAAGTAAGACCTAGCGAAGTTTATTTTTAGTCGTAACGGTCATCGACAGATGGTTGAAAGTGGCCGTTGGCTTTTTGAAAGTACAGCCACTGATTGGTCAGCAGACAATTACGCCACACGGCATGATTTGCATAAGACTATGGCTTGGGAATCACAGATTTGCATAACGTTACGGCTGGTGATGGCTAATTGGTTGGCCGGGAATCACGCCACATGACATTTGCATAGTGCTACGGTTCAGTAAGCACTAATTGGTCATCGAGTCCGATGTTGACGCTATAAAAAGGCGACAGTTCGACACATCGGATATACGTCACTCTCGTCTAAGTTCGACTTGGGAATTTTTTTGTTCAATAATAAATGTGAATTCTTCCTCCTGGAAAAAATAAGACCTCCCCCTGAAAATAAGGCCTAGTGCACTTTTCAGAGCAAAAATTAATATAAGACACTGTCTTATTTTCGGGGAAACACGGTATGTACAATATGAGATCATGATTTATCCAATCTAATTTTGAGTGATGTTGTAGTAGTATGATCTTTTAATGCAAAAAAAATACTGTCTTAGTACATGTGTAAAATTAAAATTAACTCACACTATGTAAGTTCACATGAGGTTTAAAAACTGCATTAATTAGTCTTTACTTACAGCAATGAAAAAAAAAATATTTCATATAATACTGTACACATATGCCTCTGTTACAAATTTTATTTAACTTTACCTTATTTAGATCAATAAATTATTTTAGACATTAGACATAAATTGAAAAATTATTAAGTTGATTGTTATGCATTTATGCATGAATTTTCTGGAATCTTAATGTTTCTACTTTGTGTGTGCTTCCCTGAATTAATTTCTGGTATTTCACACCCACATATTAAGTCAACATTTCATTCATATTTTCTTGATTCCATTATGGTCATTGAATTATCATTTTTTAATATTTTGTTTATTACACAAAATTCTCCATTTAAATAGATTCATGATTTTTAATAAATTATAATCATTTTAAAGTTTAAAATTATCATATGTGGAAATTTTAATTTGTCTAATATTATATTGTTTAATCATCTATCTGTTTAATTTGTATTAAGACATAAAAAATTTCATATAAAAAAAAATTGTATATCCTTTTTGGTTTTTCACTGGAAGTATCTTTCCCTACAAGGAAAAGCTCATTTTTAGATTTGATGTTTACAAGAAATAGTACTATTTTCACTTTCCTGGCTCATGGATTTAATTCTGACCACTCTGCCATCACTGACTTCTATGTAAAGATCTAAAAAATAATTTCTATCCCTATGTTGAATAGGTCAACTGGCATAGGATTAACCATTTCATGTGTTTGTTGATTGATCATTTTATAAATGAAGATTATCTTATATCTCAAAAAATTTCATTAGTATATGAAAGATTTAGTGCTTACATCGGTTTTTTCTTCCTTACAAAAAGATTGATCTTCCTTTCCAGTGTTGGTTTTCTCAAATGACTTTGGAATAAGAGATATCAGTTGAATCAATGATCTCAATCAAGCAACCCTCATGATTTATATCCCCACCCACCAGATTATTTAAAAGAGATTTATACAAAATGTGAAATCTCAAAATTTTTTTTTGGAGTTTTTGCCCTCATTTTTCTTTTCTAAACTATAAATATAGACAACAATTCCATTTTTAATATTTACGACAAGCTTAAATCTTGCTTTTCAAAATTTCTGCATAGGCAACTTACACACCTGTAAATATTACCTCTGCTGATTTATTCAATAATTCTCATTTAAATTTTTTCCATTTCTCATTTACATAAAATTCTTTTAAATGTACATAGGTCATTTCAGAGTCCTGATACTGTGTCTGCTTTTTTTTTTTTTTTAAGAATTTGCCATCTATTACTGTAATAGTTTTATTGTTGTTTTTTAGAGTTGATTTGATACTCGTATCCAGATCAATGGTAAATATCTGTAATTATAGCCTTTCCAAAAAAGAAAAAGATGCTTTTCAGCCAATCTCCCTACAGCCAGTAATGCTAAAAATTTTTGATTATCTTTATGGACCAAATGCCTGTAATATTAGCAATTCCCAACACTGAAATATTAAAGGTAAATCAACTGTAACCAATCTTTTTACACAGAAAGAAATTCTTCAAAACTTCAAGAGAAAAAAACCTTCCTTCCTATGTTGCATATTTAGATGTCACTCTTGCATTCAACTGTATCACCCCTTCTCAGCTTTTGCATCTCCTTTCTGATTCATATGATCTTGATCAAGGACCCTTGGTCCAGTTTAGTAACTTTTTCTTTTGAGGAAATGTACAATTAAACTTTGGTGAGTTTACCTTCTCTGAATTTTTCATGTATGCAGTATTTCCCAGGGTTCTGTGTCCAGCAGCCTTTTATTAATTTCTTATGTCAATCCTTGTTTTGCACATTATGCTTCACATATACTGTATGTGCATGTGTTGATGATGTTAAGATAACAGTGACTCTAATTCTCTTCAAAATGTTTTGATCATTTTTGACTGTCTTACTAAATCCTTGGAAACATTAAATTTACAAATTAACTTGTCAAGTCTGTTGTATTCTTTAATAGAGAAAACACATTACAACTTATTTTCCCTCCAAATGTTGATGATTTTTTAATGTAGTATGTGCAGGTAATAATAAACTTAAAAATTCTTTTTGATCAGAAACTACCTTTCAACAATCATATCAATAAAGTGGCTGAGGTTTTGGCAATAAGAAGGAATGTTATGGAGACATCAAAATTCACATTAATGTCCACATTTTTTACTAATTTTCAACCATTAATAGATTAGTCTTCACATTTAGGTCTTGGGTTCTCCATCATCACTTAAAAAATGGGCTAATGTATTAAATAGTTTACAAATTAAAAAGGTATCCAAGTCAATTACCATACCCTGAATCAGCACCTAATATGCAGTTTCACTTGAGGCTTCCAAATTTCTTTAGTCAAATTCAGTACTTTGTTAGAATTTATGTTTTATCTAAGAAATTAATGGTTTTATAATACCAAGTGACATTGATATATTTGTAAGAATTATTCAGCAAGACCTTTGTTTATTTATTTATAACTACTGATTAAATGTAATTCAATGCTGTTAATTGTACCATGCTAATATGAATACATTAAAGATTGAGCATTTGTTACATATTCCTTATAACATGTTTAAATGAATGTGCAAACAATTTATGTAGAGTTAATTGTAATTTTGTTTTCTTTTTGATTTTAAAAAGATATTTTCAGTTATTGTTTAAACTAGCGGTTATATTTAACATTGGGTCATGTGTAAGGCTTTACTGAGTTTTTATTAATAAATAAACAACATAAATTGTATCCTTGAAACTTTCCTACAAGATTTTCCTTTTATTTGTTTTATAAAAAAATGACAAAATTGAGATAAAATTTAACTTGTGTTAAAAATATATAGTAATGTAGGACAATTTCATAACAAATTAAGGGATGAATTTAAATAAAACATGATAAACTACAATAAATGTTAAGTTACAAGAAAACTATCATAAAGGGATTTGACCCTATAATAAACCAATCATATAGAAAAAAATCCATTCTACTTAAATATGATTTACTAAACTTACCATTTTAGCAGCAGGATGCAATACTTGCATTTGTTTTAAAATTGTTGCTCCATCATTTGTTATTGTTACATCTCCATTAGCAGCCTGAATCTAGAAATAAAATTAAATCCGAATGTAAATTATTTGAAACTTTAATAATTCAAATTACTTTATTGGAAATTTATAATCAAAGTATAAGGTCTGTAAAGAAATTACACACACACTAGAAATTTGTGTATAACTTCACATAATGTTTATTTATATCAATTTAACAATTAACAAGCTCATTATTATAAATAATTATTCACAAATAAAAATATTCAAATTTCTGAGTGATAAATTGATATAAAAATTACAACTAAATCTGCTGTAAAATAATTATACATACAGTGTGTGTATGTATAAATACACATCATATAATTGAATGTACTACATAAATACAATAAGCAATTTTAATTGTACATCATCATTTACCCCTCCCCATAATAATTGTATCATTCTGACTTAAGTTTTTACAAAATGCCACAAGGAAAAGAATTGAGCAAAAGAGGATTCAGAAAAATCTTTTTGTATCATGGACAAGGAAAATCTTACAGAGACAGATTGCAACACTTTGAAAAGATCTATTGAGGCAATTCAAAATGTTATTAAAAAAGGAGACCAATACGGGATAAATAAATGCTGATGGTTGACAAAAACAATTTTCACTTTATGCCGGGATTGTTATATGGGAGAAAAATCATACTTAATTGACATTAAAAACATGTGTTTATTAAAAATTGTAAGTACTTTCAGAGACATACAGCCTTCATCAAACAAAACCAAACACAAATTTTAAACTTAAGAATAGAACGTAAATTAAATACAGTCACAAGATTGGAATATCAAATATTCAATAAAAATTTGAACAGTTTAATAAAATAAGATGCATGAGAAATTATCAACAGCAATATATATCCCCAAGTATAAAAAGATCTTTAGAGCATATACAATGTGAATTGTTTAAATAATTTATCCATAAACACAGAACAGCTATAGTAGAAGTATTGCAGGGTGAAAATGACATGATATAAAGATTTTCCCATAAGAATAATGTTCTTTTATCATAGCACTGCCTCGATAATCTAGCATTAGCCCAAAGGGGTACATAAACATGTTCCACTACTCTTTTTGAAAACTCAGTTGTGATTTCATTATTGGCAGTATTCTCTTGATGTTCTGCTAACCGAATTTGCAACATTCTAAATGTGGCTCCAACATACGGTACATTAATGTTGTTCCTGATAACAAATGCCATAATGGAATTGTGTAAACCCCAATTTTTCATATACAGCAACACTGTCCCTATCATTACATAACAACCTATGTAAGATAGTCTAGAGAATAATTGGTAAAAGAAAGCCATAAGTACTAAAGATACAAGCTATGTATAAAGATAAAGTCCCCTTATGTAGGCATTTTATCTTTACACATAATTGGTATATGGGCAATGTGGCAATCTTGTTTATCAGAAAATAATATCTGAGAATATATTGATTTCCTGATGCAGTTAAGGAGATACTTAATTTTGGGGAATATCCTGCCCTACATACTGCATCTGATATAATTCATCTCTTTGTTTACATATAATTGGGTGGACAGAACTAAGAATGCTCTTTGTATGAGAGCCAAAATAGCAAAAATTTACAAAGCACAAGGCTGGAAGGGAGTAGCAGGGACAATATGTTGTAATATACCAGCCTTGTAGTGGACAAAAAACAACCCAACAGGTACTCTGTGCATGAGCAAGTCTAAAAAAAATATCCCCTCATCTTGTTCAACAGAAAAATTAATTGTTGTATAGACAGAAGATAACATATCTACAAAGATGTACAATTCTTCCTCAGAAACATCCCAGGGAAGCAGAATATCATCTACATAACAGATATAAGAGTGGATAGTGAATAGCCAATGGAAAACCTAAAACTAAACTCAACCATTCCTCATGATAAGTTTCACAAGAGCAACAGATACGGGAGAACTCATAGGTACACCATGCTTCTGCTTGTAAATGGTACTGTTAAATTGAAAGTAATTATCCTCTGTTATATGAAAAAGTACTTCTCTCAAATCCAATATCTAGGGTATGGAATGACCAGTCCTAAGGAATAATGCATTTGCAAGCATTAACACATCAAAATATGGTACAGACAGACACAAAGGTACCACATCAATCTTAGAAAATCAATACTTACTTGTGGGAACATTGCATTTATGTTCTATTCTTAAGTGTAAAATTTGTGTTTGATTTTTATCTGACAAAGGTTGTATGTCTTCAAAAGTATTCACAATTTTTAATAAATACATGTTTTTAATTAATGTTGGTTAAGTGTGATTTTTCTCCCAGATAAATAAGTGATCTGGTCAAAAACAAGTTCTAAGTGAGAGAAGGAAAAGAAGAGTTTTCCACCTTGCCATCTCAAAGGAATGTCCACACATGCCACTGCTGCTAGTTTGTCACTGAAAGTGTCGGATGCAACAATAGCTAATGTCTTGAAAAATAATGATAAGTTTCCTAAGTTAAACTCAAGGAAAAACCAAAGCTTACAAATGACCTCAAACAAAACAGACCAGAATGGATAAAACCAGTAATGAGTTGGATTGAGAAATGTAAAAATATAATGATTTCAGATAAACAAAGTTTAATCTGAATGGTCCAGATGGTATTAGGTAGTAATATCATGATTTAAGAAAACAATCAAAGAAATATTTCACCAGACAGATGGGAGGTGTAGTCATGGTTTGGTCAGCATTTGCTTTTAATGGCAAAGCAGATATTATCATAATTAATGATAGAATGAATTCAGAAAATACCAAAATATGTTATTTAAACATCCATTTGGATGTTTAAATAACATATACAAGCATTCCATTTGGACCACTCCTGTCATGCATTTGATCCACCAAAAATTGGTTTAAACAAGAAAAAAAAATAGATGTGACAGACATGTAGTCCAGACTTAAATTTTATGGAAAATCTGTGGGCAATGCTTTCTCAAATCATCTATGCTAACAACAAATAATACACAACCACCGATGAACTGACAGTTGCAATTTATAATTGTTTTTATAATTTATAATAAAATAAACTTACATAACTGCAAAACTTGTCAGAGCAATACCTAATAAAATTTACAAGCTAATTCAAAACAAAAGAAATTATATTAATTATTAAAACTTTATGTAAAAAGGCAAATTTGCTGCTGCATGTATTTTACTGCAAATTTGGTTGCAATTTTTATATTAATTCATCAAATATTAGAATATTTTTTTGTATGAATATGATTTATTTGTGAGTAATTATTTATAATAATGAGCTTGTTAATTGTTAACTTGGTATAAATAAACATTGTGTGAAGTTATACACAAATTTCTAGTGTGTGTATAATTTCTTTACAGACCTTATTTACTTTTTTACTTTCTGCTACAAAAATAACACAGATATTCAAAAAAATAATACCTTATGTATTCATTATATAAAATTTTTTAAAATTTATATAATACCATTTAGTTATTTCATTATTTTCTATAAATTTTTAAAAATTTATAGAAAATAAATGTAGAAAATTTAGTTATTTTCAATGAAATAACTAAATGGTATCTTTCTAAATTATTATATTTATTTTCAAAATAACATACATACAAATACATTATTAACAAATTAACAAATCTTTGTTTGTAGAAAACAGAATAATTCATACACTATACAAACAGCTGAAAGTGTGAAGAAATGCATAATACCCACAATGCCATGTTTAAATTATATTTCTGTATGAAGAAAGAAAAATCTTGACAGAAAAATTTTTGGCCTTCAATAAATCTAAAATCACATTCTTTGATAACAGACCAAATTACTCAAACTTGCTACTAAGACAAATTCCATTTTTTAATGATATGCATATCCCAAAAGAATGTATAGATAACGGTGCCACGTACTTCAAATTTAATTCATTCCAGGAGGCCGTTCAAACTCACAACTGTTTGAAGTCCAAATCAATTTTTTCCTATTAGAAATAATGGAAAGTGAATTAATCTACTCCCAGAGCTTAAACAATACCCATTTTGATAAACTGAAAACAAGAAATATACACAATTTAGGATAAAAATAACAAATTAAATGCCCTAATAATAAATTAGAATATGAAATCAACAACTAAAATATGTAAATACTCTATAATAAAATAAAAATTGCATTTACTGGTCACACATCATGAACTTTGGCATCTTAAATGTAACTGCCAGTTATTACACAGGTACCTTATAGTACGTTCTTTTTTTATCTCAATTGTCGATATTACAACCTTCCTCTTAGAATCTGTTGCTTCCACACACACTTCTCAAATGACATGGTTAAAAGTAGAGGTTATATTGAATTGAACAAAAACTTTCTGCATATTTTTAATGCATCACTTTAATGGACGTAGTCGAGGAGGGAGGACGTGTTAAATTGTGCTCCGTGGAATTTTTGTGATTGTGCTGGAAGTATTAATTGCATTATATCTTTCAGAATACTATTGTAATCTACTCTGGATCCTGGTTCGTTTGATATATATATTGTTACAGTATGCTAATTGGGTAATAATTAATTAATTTTTAATTTAGTAAAATTCTATCGGGGGTTTAATCTCTGGGGGCGGCACCAGGGGTTAGTTAAAAGTTAGCTTAGGCAATAAGATCCTAAAAGGGGGTAGCGTTTAATATTAATCGAATTATAAGGGTTTAAAGATTTACAGTAGTGATTAAGTGGAAAATTTTAAATTTTGGACGGCTATAATGGACTTTCACGGTCTTCTAACATCCTTTAGCGAATTTTTTAATGGACGTAATGGCTATTAATCATTGCAACTATAACTTTTATTTTGACGGTTAAGGAATAATTGTAAGAATAGATTTAACTTAATTCATAGTATAACGGAATTGATTATTTTAACGATGCTTTTTAATAATTTTCGGCACTTTATCGAATTTAAATGTAATATTTTACTTTCTGGGGTTAACAGTCACGTTATTAAGTCTTTGGATAATATAATAGTAAGTTTTAAATATTTTTGGTGTATATTTATTTTACACCAGCACATCTAGGTGGGCTTTAGGCGTGTTACATTTCAGAACCATTAAGATAATAAATTACGAGGGGTTGCGGGGGAGACAAGGAGAAGGAGGGAGAGAAGGGAGAGAAGTGCAAGGGGAGAAGTGAGGCAAGGTGACAGCTGGTGGCGGCATGAAAAACGAAAAAGTCAAAAGACATCATGAAGCCATCCGCACCTCTTTCAATTTGATGTCAAGATATCTCCAGTGTGGGAAGTGTGAGGTCTTTCTTTAACCTCTTGGTACGATGGCCAGTACAAAGGACATGAATATCGACATCCTGCCAAGCAGTCCAACTCCATCAGGGACTGGCTCAACGAATATGGATTTTGTGGAAGAGGAATTACTATCTAATATCCACTCTCACTTGGAAACAATAATGATAAACATTCCTACAAACTGTAGTATAACAGTTAAAAGTGGGGAAAGGGCCTTGGTCAGGGAGGCTGCAATAAAGATGCATGCAGCGGCAAACCAGCTCTTTGGCATAATCCTGGAAATGAGACAAAAACAGGCAAATGCCGCCATCCAACCAAAGGCTCCATCTTACTCAGACATGGTCAGAAAGAATACTAGAATTAAGAGCAAGGAAACTAGATTGATAAATGCCACTACGGGTAATCAGGGGGCTAGTGGCATAAAGCAGAATGAAGACCGTAATCTCATCATATCAGCAACGGCAGACCAGCAGGAACCAAAAATGGTGGCCGAAGAGTTAATGGCCATACTACAGGAAAACATTTCACCCAAGGATATTGGGTTAAACGTGGGAAACATCAGACCCCTGCCAAGTGGGGAAATCAACATAAAAGTAAAATCCAAACAGGATATAAAGGCCTTAAAGGAAGCAATAAAACAAAACACTAATCTGGTAGACAAGATAGAGGTGAGAGAAAAGAAAAAGAGAGACCCAAAAGTTATCCTTCTGAACCTGCCAATAGACATGACATACAGAGACATGATGGAACATCTCTATCTTCAGAACTCAAACATTTGTGAGAACTACACTAAAGAGGCTTTTCAAAATGCCTGCTCCTTTGACAAATTTCTTACCCCCAAGAACAGAGGGGAGGTGCAGCATGCTATCCTCACGGTGACCACCAGGCTTTGGCTCAGCCTCATTGAGGCTGGCAGGGTGGCTATTGGATGGAATTCCATCAGGGTGGACGACCATATACCGGTCACCCGCTGTTTCAATTGCTGTGGATTTGGTCACATTTCCACCAGATGCGACTTATGACAAAAATGCAGCCACTGTGGGAGGAAACATCGCCTGAAGGAATGCCCAAATCAGGATAAGGACCCAAAATGCACCAACTGTGCCAAGTACAATAAAAGCAATCTACAGAACAAGACTTGACACAGACCACAATGCCTTTGCAGCCAACTGCCCATGCATAAAATGGTTTAAAGCACAGGTCATTGCCAATACCATGTACTAATCAGCTCTTAAGTCTCAGGGGACTTGCACTTCATGGACAATGTCATGATGGGGAAAACAACACAATCATCAGTATGGAGCCTCCTACTCTCATGCAGGCTACAAGCTCTAATCAAGACAACATCTATGCCACAAGGTCTACCTTCAACATTACTATTCTCACAATCAACACACAAAGGTCTAAAGCGGCCTCCTCGGTCCTGCAAAAAATGGCAGATGAATACAGGGCTGACATAGTCCTCATCCAGGAGCCTTACTTAGTGAATAACTCTTTGATGCGCTTTGGCAGGTGGAGGACCTTCCTGGACCAAGACTTCTGCAGGGTGATTAAGGCAGGCATCCTGGTCTGCAATAAAAACCTCAAGGTTAATTTCTGTTCTAATTTCAGCACAAGCTTCGTGACCACCACCCTTCTATCTCACAACAACAAGCAACTCTACTTCTCCTCTGTTTATTGCTCCCCAGCTGAGGATATTCAGCACCTGATTGCAGATTTACAGAACATTTCCAATAACATCAGAAATCATTTCTGGGTGATCAGTGGGGACTTCAACGCAAAATCCCCAACCTGGCACAGCCCAGAGGAGGACCCACGTGGCTACATTGTGCGCGAGTTTATGGCACAGAACAATTTGGTTTCATGCAACACCAGTCAACTGCCCACCTACTACAGCACCAGGGGCGAAAGCTGGATTGACCTGTATCTGGCTAGCATCAAAGCCCATAGATCCATCTCATACTGCAGTACCCTAGATGAAAATGGGGCTAGCGATCATCGCTACATTAAAACGACTATTACGACCAATGACCCAGCAATTGAAAGCAACGTCATAAAAATTAAGAAGACTAATTGGATGCAGTTTCAAGATCTGTTCAAAAGATATTGGCCTCCCCTATCAATCAGATGATGCTAGATGCTATCAGTTAGATGAGCTAGATGTATGGCCAGAGGAACTGGCCATACATCTAGCCTCATCTATCTTGGCCTCCTATCACAGATCAACCAGCATGACCGAGGTAAGGCAAAACAGTGCACCGTGGTGGAGCAACTCTCTCAGTGCCCAGAGACGAATAGTTCGTCGTTTATATAAAAAGTTTAAAAGGGAGAGCGACCCCAATGTGAAGGAGGAACATAAGCGGAATTACATTAGCAAATTCAATGCCTATAAAACTGAGATCAACAAGGCACGTACAACAGCCTGGAAAAAGTATTGCACTGAAATAGGAAACAGGACCACATGGAGTGATCCATATCATATCATATATACTGAAACCAAGAAAAACCATCAAGATTCCAGTAAACATCAAAAAGGAGGATGGCACTACAACAAATGATTTATTAGAAACCCACAAATATCTCCTGAATGTCCACTTCCCATCAGACGATCCCGGAGACGACAGCCAATGGCACAAGGATATTGGAAACAGTATCTTGACCCTTCCAGCATCTAATAATGACATCATGTTCACCTTCAGAGAGGTTCAGGCAGCAGTCAAGTCTCTTCGGAACAAGAAAGCACCAGGAATCGACAAGATAACCCCTCTCATGGTCAAGAGGGCATTCGAGGCAGTTCCCATAGCCTGTTTTGTAATGTGTATGGGGAAGATGATCCTAAACTTCAAGCATCTGAAATATGGTTTTGAAAAGTTCCATTCAAAAAATTTTAAACTAAAGGATACAAAATGTATATGCACCCAAAGGCTATCAGCAAAGAAAAACTTCAGGAAGAAATTGTTAAAAATCAACAAATAATACACACTACATATTTTTCCAGTTTATTTTTGATATATATACTTCAAAAATAAAGGAAAAAACTGAAAATGTATGAGCATAACACAAGGGCAAAGAGAACTTGGGCACACAACAGATTTTATTTACGCTTCAAGCACATTTTTTCACTGCATATGCAATTGAAATTTTGAAGCATCATTCAAAGTGCAAAGTACTACTGTATTTGAAAATTTTGGCATGTTAATGAAAGGCTTTGGATCCCAATTAAGTACAAACACATCTATTCTATCCACCTTGAATTCTTTATTTAGAGAAATAAATAGTTTGTA